ATAGAGGTTGGGCGGAGGGGGGGTCGCCAAAAATGGTCATAATAATTTTCTCTGCTGCTGTCTGAACGAGATTGGGGGATTTATAAATGAGCAAAGAAGAGAATGTGTGTGTGTGTGTGTGTGTGTGTGTGTGTGTGTGTGTGTGTGTGTGTGTGTGTTTTGCGAGGGTAATTGAAGAATAATTCATTTAGCTGTCAGACGTTTTAATCCACAGACGGAGGGGCGATGAAGGGATTGTTGACCTCCAGTCGGGTTGGGCAGGCGTGTTGCATCTTGGCTGGTTATTGGCCAAGCGAGTGCCACTGTACTGTCTGGCTGCCAACCAGCGCTCTTTGTTGTCTGTCTGTCTGTGTGTGTGCGCGTGTACGTGAGTGCAAGTGTACGCCGGGCCCCAGACGAACCAGCGCTCGCTATCTCCTCCTTGAGCCTTTCCTCACTACTGAGTTTGTTATCAACACTAGCACATGCGGGATTAGTGGCTGAAAGGGAGAAAAAAAAAGTGTGGCGGAGGAAATAAGTGATAGACAGTAGATGGGTGCATGACAGATAAAACACTCGCATGCACACACACATCCATCCATCCCTGACGAGACAATAGAATTTATTGTTGATACTAGACTTATGACTAGGGATGGTTACCGAAGATGAGACCTTTTTTGGGGATGGAGCAATTTAGCGGCACGGATTCAGGTGAAGCATGGGCAACTCTGCTGCTTGTAAATGAGTTCAAGAAGGACCAACTTGACATCAGTTATGGGAAGTTAAGCTACATTCACAATGTAGCTCAGCTACTGTATAGCACTCTTTCATGTAACAATATTCCGATCAATATATTCAAGTCAACGTGGACAAACAGTGATTCAATCTTGTTTCGCTTCTGTCTGACTGAGCTCTTTGGAAGACTCCGACATGGATGGAAAAAAACAAAAGTGCCCGCTTGTATTCACGTAGTGACACGGCGACGCTCATCTCACCCCTTTGGCCTCCGTCGCTTGCGGTCTGACACCGTCTGCAACACATGAGGACGTCTGAGCGGAATGCGTAATGGCGGCAGGGCCACCAGCGCCGCCGCCACAACAACACAAAGAACCTTGTTGTGACTTTGACTTCCTCTTCAGAACTTTGAATGTGAAAGTGACTGTCTGAAACTTTGCACCTGAACTCCTTTGTTTGCTGTGTGCCAAATTTTCAGCAAAGTTAACTTTTCTTCTTGTCTACATGGCCATTTTTTTGTTACTTTATTTGGTTTGTTTTCTCATTGGCGCAGGGTAGTGGGTAATTTGGGATGATAAGATTGTGTTTGTTGGATACTGATTATAGGATTTTTTTTAAAGTCCAAACAATTATAGTCAGTTCAGTTAAAACGGTAAAGGCACGGCTCAATCGTTGTCTCCTTCCGACAACCGCCGAAAGCTGAGTTTCGCCAAAGGAAGCCTCGGCTGCGCTCTCATTCTCAAGCGAATACGACGTGTGCTCTTGAAAATGTTTACCCCAAGTATCAATCTTCAGAATAAATATTATTGTTAGAGTTGAGGAGACTGTGGCTGGGTCTACATTAGTGTATTTTAATGTGGCTTTTAATATCGGTTTAATTTTGCTGCATCGGACCGAGAAAAATTGTCATTTTTTTTCCAATATCGGACCAATAATAGTTGAGTCCGATAAACATGGTGCATCCCGACAAATAGCCAAAAGAAGCTGAAGCTTTTTTTTTTTTTTCCAACGAATGCCTCCAACACCCTCCAAAATTAGCCAGCGCGGCGACTTAGCAGCGCGTACCAAAAACAATGCTCACTACTGCAGCTTGACGGACAGCGGCAGCCTTGACGTCATGTAGCTTTGTGGTTTTCACATCATATCCTCTGCATGAGGTCCAGCAGACCTTAACTTCCGGCTTGGCATCGCATGACGCTTGAGGTTGTGTAAATAAATGGAGTAATAACGCAGGAGTTGTAAGTGAGCGTGGACTTTTGGCCCTATAACACGCGCTTTAATGCAATAAAGTGTCAAATCACCCGCCTCTAATATTGAACTCCCCGCACTTATAGCCGAGGGAGAGTGTACTTTGAAAAGCGTGTGTTATTTTTCTTTAATTTCAAACGGCGCGCTGCGTTTGACCTCAGACTCTGGTTCTTCCTGGCTGAGAGAGGCTCTAATTGAAGCCAAGCCAGGAGGCGAACCCCCCTGCGGTCATGTGGGCCGCATTAAATAATAGTCATTTCATCAAGAAATGTGCTGCTCCACCCATTGTCTCACGTATGAGACGTTTTCTCATGCCTCTCTGTGTGTGAATTGATTGCATGTTTTGGGTTGGAAATAATGGAGAATATGTCCGTAATTTATATCCAATTTACCACCGAAAGATTTAACACTGCTTTTGCACACATTAGACTTCGCATAATAAGCCCCCCCCCTCCTTCCCCCCCTCCATCTATATTGAAATTAAAAACATGCCTTCAAGACATATGAGTATTCGTTGTTAATTTACTGATTGGAGATTAAATTATTTTGGGAGAAAATGGTTGATTCATTTGAGCAGCGTGAGTTCACAGTGTGCGATTGTGTTCTGAGAACTTCCATTGTGTTTGTGCATTTGAGCGTGCATTTACGCACAGAAGTTAGAATATTCATAAAAATCAATGCGCGCATTAATTTGAGCGCCAGGCTGCGTATATTCATGGATGGGGACGGCAGGCTGGCCTCCGAGCAGCTGGATTTTGCAGGTTTCGCTGTTTTTACGAACGGCATGAATAATTAGTCAGGTGTAGCTGCCAACTGGGGTGAGACGTGACAAAGTCTGCGCGGTCACAGGCGGCAGAAAAAAAAATCCTCTGAACCCACAGCAAAACCCCCACTCATGTCCACGTTTTCTTTTTTTTTTTTTTGAAGTTGATTTTTCTTTCTACCTAAATCACCGGCTTTGTTTTCCTTTACCGTCGTCCGCACCGTTTCTGTTTATTTTTCTTCCTCTGCACATACAGTCCTCTGACACACGTCGGCACAAAATGAACCATTTCACCAGTGGAAGTGATTAAATACGATGGGAGCCGTTAAAACGTTTCGAGTCAAATTAATGTAATCTGTCCACTATAGGAAAACAAACGCCGGCTTTGGGTCCTGTCACATGACTTGGGGTCTGAGTAATTCCTGACACCTTGTTCTTTTTTTCATACCGCTTGCATAGATGGATTAACAAAGTTCCAGTCTTAGCTGCCTCCTCCCTTTCACCAACACATAGATTTTCTATTTTCGCCCACCTAGCTACACTATGGGCCAATCGAATTTGACTGTGTTTGGCCCCATTTCCCATTGGTTAGCCACATCAATGAAACACGCTCCATTGGCTGGAGTAGAAAGCGCAGTTTTAGCCGACATAAGCAGTTTTAAATTTGGTGAGCAAATACGACTTTTGTCCCCTGGTGGGGGCCGCGGTGAGGATTTCCTGCAGGTTTAATCACGTTAATAAATCTGCGTGTGTGAGGGTATGTAATGGTCACATGGTAAATCTGATTGGATATAAATGACACACACACACACACACACACACACACACACACACACACTTGGTTTATTGTGCATGAATAATTCAGTTATTCGATTCAGCATTGGCCACAGGGGCACGTGAACATTTTTTTTTTTTTTTTTGCGCGAGGAGAGCATTGGCGTGTATTTGTGCTTGGCCGCATTCAGCCACACGTTTAAAAAGCTGGCCTTCCATCAAAATACCAGCCGCTCAATCACTTGACCTTCTTATTCCTCACCCATCTCTCCACGCACGTGCACACACGCCCGCAAGCTGTTTGTTTACCTCACAGCTCCTCAGCATATACATACAGGCGGGCTCCGTATTATCACAACACTACACATTCTGTTTCATGTTTATTTCATGGCGAAGGAGACCTTTAAAACAAGCCGTGCCATGCAATTTTATCTCCCGGACGGAGTGTAAAAGATTTTGATAGCACTTTTAGGACAGTTAGCGGTCTCAGCGTGCATGGAAAGACCCTTTCTACACGTGCTTGCTTCACACAATGAGCCTCTGCCCCCGTGTGCATTCACGCGGCTGCTTTATATGTCAAACCTATAGAGCCGACTGTAGTGCACGGTGATCTTAACGTCCAAGGTGAGCTTGTTTTCTTTTTAGCCTCTGCTGTGACTTTTAGCAACCTGGAATATCACTCTCCTCTGTTACCTTATACACACACGCACACACGCACATGCACACGCACACACAGATGTTCAGTTAAATGTGCTTCATTCATTTTCAAAAGCAGGGCTGTTTTTTTTTTTTTTGGACATGGTGGGTGTCAAGAAGCCAAGATTTTTGACTAATCCTGAGACCTCTTTGGGCGTATTCAGATAGGAGAGAGGGATTATTTAAAATTGAGCAGATGAAAGGAAAGGGAGTGCGTGCAAGTCTCGGGTTGGCTCATAAGTCCTCCCAGCAGTTATGGAAGCACATATTGGAAAACCAAATGTTTGGAACACATTCTTTTTAATTGGTGTATGTATTCATATGTGAAACCGACACAAAATAATCTTTTGGGGGGCAAATTTTCAAAAGGATGACTTTTTATATGTATATGTATTAGTGTCGCGACAATATTTCCGTCTCCGTTCCAATTATTCCACTAGTGACCCTTTCCTTTGATGTCCCTGCGATTGGCTGGCAACTGGTTCAGAATGTACTTCTCCTAGTGCCCGAAGACAGCTGGGATAGGCTGTGCTGTCAAAGTTAGCACTTTAACGTTGACAGCCCTGGTTTTTAATAAAGAAAAGCAGTACTGTATTGTATAAAAAACACACTAAAACATAAATACAAGAGAAGGTAGCTGAATAGTTTGATTTAATGGGTCTAAGTATGATACAACAACAATACAAGTGTTAAATGTGTGCCTTGTGGGGACCTTTTGATTGTTTGCCCGTTTCAAGAAATAACTGACCTGGCTGACGTTTTCACCGCCAAACCTGCAGTTAACTATACCTTACCGTGTTTTCAGCTCCGCAACCTGACCGTCCTGGACTTGCGGCACATTTCGGAGCTCAACAATGAGACGGTGATGGAGGTGGTGAGGAAGTGCCGCAACCTCAGCTCCCTCAACCTCTGCCTCAACTGGAGCATCAATGACAGGTATGTCAGCCTGTTCTTTTCAGTGACTCGGTGTCATGCACACAGTTTCTATTTTGGATCACGCCAATGCGGGCGTTTGATAACCATTGGTAATCGCGCCCTCACACAGTAAGTAAAAATAGTTTTTTTCCCATAACTCCATCCCATGCCAAATCAAACCAAACCAAAATAATGCCTTGTCATCTTGCAGTCAAAGCAAGCGAACAAGTTTTAACAGAAATGAATACAATTTGAAGGCAAGTCCACAGAGACAGAAAAACAAACATCCAATTTAGAAAGGTAAACAGAGCCAGAGGATTCCCCTCATGTTTTTATTTCCCTGTAATGACTCATTAGTTGTCTTGATTGACAAATAATGTGTTGACAATTTAACAATGAGTCTATTTTCTATGAGCTGACAGATGTATGCTGTTATTAAATATTCTAATTAGATTTTTGTTATCTCTATTCCAAATTGCTCATTTGTTGCTTGACTGTTGGTTTGATTTTAAAACACATTTCAGCGACCAATTAATAGTTTTATATGGACACATAATCGGCAACGTGGGCTTTTCATGAAACGGATTCACTTTTTAAACATACACACTCAATGGAAGATCATCGCACAAACACTAAAAGAAGACGAAGAATTCATCTTAAAACCCTGATTTAAAAAAAAAAAATGACTTGCTGTGTTTGTTTGTCCCTCTGGTCATCTGTCTCCGTTGCTCCCACCATCTGCTTTGGGAGACGGGGCCTGCACCGTATTGTAACAACAAGAGTAAACCATCTCCTCTTTTATTTATCACCCCTGTGTTTTATTCATATGTTTCAATTTAATCTATCGATTTGCAGCTACGGTTGTTGCTCCTCCGCCGACTGCGCTCCCACTCTGGCTCAGGAGTGTGAACACAATATTGAATTTTAACATGGTGCACATGGTGCAACAGTGTGTCTGTGAGAGTGTGTGCGCGCGTGTCTGTGCGTGAAATCATTCTTGCATTCACTTTGCAGCAGACGTGATGGGAATGTGACAGTAATACCCTACCCACCTCATTTCAATCAACAAAACGTGAAGTTTGGCGAAATGCTCGAAAGGGCTGGGCGCACGTACGCACGCGTGCACACATGCTCTCGCGCACACTCATAACATGGTGCATTGATGCCGTAATGATATTTACTGACCTGGCCCGTGGGCTTTAAGCCGTGCGTGTGTCTGACGGGAGCTTGTCCGGATCACTTGTGGGGATATTGGAATTGATCATTGGTTTTGCGTGCGCGATGTGTGTTTGTGTGGCATCACGCGGTATTGCGTGTCTTAGCTTTGAGGGTGACTGAGATGGTCAGCCATTTCTGATGAATCTTCCGCCTTCCACCCCCAAAGGAGGAGTTTAGAAAATCCTCAAGTTGGAGGTGCAGTTTACTCTCTGTGCCTCCTGGCCCATTTTTGTGCGTTTATTGTTGTGCACAATGTGTGTGTGGGGGGAGTGTGTGTCTTGTGTAGATGCCGCTCAAGGCCTGAAAGCAAATAAAAGCCTTCCAGTCATAAGATACTTTATTGTTACTCTTTACAGTCACACGGCTCGAAGCTTGACAGCGGTGCGGGGAGGAGGGGCGGGGGAGCTCATATTTAAGGGGGGGGGTACGTCCGCGCGCGGTCGTAAAGATGTGGGATTTAAAGGTTCAATAAGTATAAACCGCGACACCAGATCATGCCATATTTTTTTGGGGTGTGTGCTTGCATCATCCTAAAACTGTGATACAATGTTCAAACTCAGTCAGGTAATAGTATTGGAGGTGTTCTGTTCTGTTTTTTTTTTTTTTCTTCACATTTCACTTGCCAGCACTGGTTTCATCATGCATGGCTAGAGCTTGCAAGCCAAGGTGTGATGACACTCCCAACAACAGCTACTTCTATGAAACACCTTTGAGATACACCACTGGAACTAAGTTGGACTGACACTTGCATATACAAGCACCACGTCCTCGTTTCACCCGGAATATGTAAGACCTGACGATATTTTCCACAATATTTGACAGTCCTTTATTCAGCTATTCCACTCAAATCATGGCTCCCTCCCAATGTTCAAACTGCGAAATTTTGAAAAACGTTGCTCCATTTTGGCCCGCTATCAATGCTGGAGACGCTACAGAGAAATGGCCTTAATTAGTGTTACATGCAAACGTGAATATAATTCAAGAAAATAATGCCACAAGTAATTTTTATTAATTTATCTGACAGTAGGCAAATTATTTGAACAAAATTTGAACAACTTATTTATTGACTGTACAGTTGACCATCGCTATTCGGGAGGATTGGGTCCGGCCCGACCCTTGAATAGCCAAATTTCACGTATTATTGACGCCCATTTAAATTTAGTGGTCAACAATAACAGCAATTAAACTGCTAATAGTATCCGCAAAATGCTGATAAATATTCAATCCACTAATTTTCATTTTATGCAAAACATCTGCTGGTCCGATTCAGCCGATCTGATCTGTGTAAAGTGTACTTGTAACACGAAACAAAAAGATCGACCAAGTGACGCTTCCTAACTCTAAAAATGTGTGGCACTCATAAATCAAGGCACTACTGTATTTGTAATCTCGAAACATTGCAAGTCGGAGCCGTCGCAAAGTCTAAATAGGTTACAAACCAACATAAAGTGGATTGTCTGTCCCCAAGGTTTTAGAGGTCCTACATGTCATGGCCTATGTGACACACACCCACACAAAGTTGTGATTCATACCAACGCATCTTGCTTTGGCGTCACAGTAAAGACCAAAAATGACTCAAGCCCTCTTCACAATAGTCCTCCGAGGGCACAGCGGGGTCAGAAGCAGTGTGAATGCTTCAGTCGGGTGGTAGTTGGCCAGGGGCAGGTAAACAGGCGCAGGAAATGACCCCTTATTTCCAGGATCAATTTGTCCCCTGATAAGAGGCCATTGGAGAGATACAGCCCTGTGGGCGGTAAAGTACTCGGTCATTTTTCTTTTGCCGCCTCTTGATTTTTTTTTTGTTTTTTTTTTTTCCCTTTCCCTTCTCCACTTGTCTTTCATTTCACGCCAAAAGAAACACCGTGCTATCTGGATCTCCTCCTCATCCTTCTGGGTAATAGTCGCGAATAACGTCCATGTAAGAAAGCGAGAAAAGATGAACAAATCAAGACTTTCCGACCGTCGCAGGCCAATGGGCAGATTGCGACAGTGGGACGTCAATTTTTGGTCACTGTCATTTCTCGGCGTGAGAGGATACAATGGGCTGCATGCGGGCGGGCGGGCCGGTCATTTCTCGGTAGCGTCTCCAGCATTGATAGCGGGCCAAAATGGAGCAACGTTTTTCAAAATTTCACAGTTTGAACATTGGGAGGGAGCCACGATTAGAGTGGAATAGCTGAATAAATGGCAAACTTTTTTTTTTTTTCTTGATGATAGGTGTTTTTATCCCATCTTCATGAGCCTTTGTGTTGTGCACGAAATAGTTGTATTGTTTTCACTGTGATTCTTTTTGTGTGTTTACATTGATTTATTCGTCGGGAAGCCTGAATTATTGGAGATATTAAAATAAAAATAAACAGTCCTGAATCATTTTTACGCTCTGTAAAAGAAGTGATTTAAAGCTAGGAATGACATCCCCCCACCCCATTTCATTGTAATAATTATCTCATTGCTTTTGTTGAAATGCCGATAATTTTATTTTTCCCTGTGTGTGTGTGTGTGTGTGTGTGTGTGTGTGTGTGTGTGTGTGTGTGTGTGTGTGTGTGTGTGTGTGAGATTAGAAGTCCTTCAAAATAAAAGATAATAATGGTTGTCTCTCGCAATATGTCATCCAAATCTTAAATCAACAGTATAGAAAAAGGATGGAGCATTGTCTATCGACTTTGAGGGAAAATTTATAAGCGCTAGTATTTTTCCACCCGGAATTCTTTTTTATTGTACTCCACAGTCTCCTCTTTGCTGCAGCGGGGCCGTTTTCGTGCTGTGCTCTCTCTCGAATAAATTTATCTCCAGTGCCAAGTGGTTACTACAGGAGAAATTGAGACACACTCTGCAATTTTTGTTTGTTAGCATGTCTCGTCCATAATGGTGTGGCATAGTTTTATTTTTTGGGAGGGGGGGGTGGTAAATGGTATGTTCCTGTCATTAGTGAGGTAAGGTGATAGAGCCTTGCAGTCCATAGCCCCCAAAATTGTGGAATGCACTTTGATTTGAGCTAAGAACTGTCAAAAATATCTTTTTTTTTTTTTTTAGAGTTAACTGTTGACTGTTTTTTTTAATTGTTTTTCTTGTAGTTATTGTGTATTGTGAAATATGCAAGCACTTTCCAAGTCGTGCTAAAAAAATGTACTCACTGAGTTCAGCCAACTACTTTATTTGAGCTCACTCCTTTTTTTTGTTGTTTTTATAACCGTGTTTTGTAAATGCCAAGCTAAATGTCAGCCGAGCCCTTACCAGGGAACGACAGACATTTGTCCTCGTCTTGTTACTCCGCCATCTGTCTCTCCAGATTTGAGGAGAGGTGCTGAGGGGCGTTCCCATGTCCTTGTCACTTCTTTTTTTTGGGCTCCTCTGAAACCTTCATGCTTGCATCAGTGCTTTCTACTCCTCAAAGTTTCTTCTCTCACAACAAAGTTATGTGCTGGACCGTCGTCATTTATATTACAAATTTCGGTAATGGTTTAATTACTATTGCCTGCCGTAAAGATGCAAATTGTGGTTGTGGGGGGGTCTCAGAAGCCGTGCATTGTTTTCCCATCTTAGTTTCTTGCTCTGCTTTATTCTCTCGCTTCATCTCTCTTGCAGGCGCCTCCCTCCGTTCTTTACTCTCTCTCGCTCTCAGAGAAGTGATTAGTTTTGGCAGGTTGTGTATGAGGCTGCGCGGCGACAAACACGCTGCCGCGATGCTTAATTTTGAGTAATGGCGGCGTCAAACTCCGACGCCTTGATAAGTTTCCATGATGGAGATAGAATCAAGGCAAACAGTTGAAACACTTCAAAAGTTATCACTTTTTTTTAAAACTTGCAGTGTCCTGCACTGCTTAACACAACAAATGAACAGTCAAACTCCACTTTTTTTTTAATGATAATGCTGAAGACCTTTCCACATTAAGTTCTCACCATCACTTGAATGCTGTAGTCTGTGAATGTATTGTGGAAGTCATATTTTTGATTTGTTCTACTCTGTTGTTGGACGGGCCAAGAGCCATTTGCTTGGAGAATGACGACTAACGAAATAAAAAGGAGCAGAATTGATTTGAAATTACCATATGTATGGTCCGTCTAATTTTCTACACAATTTTCCACTTGTCCATATTAAAGTCATAACTGGAGCCTGTCATTTGGGGCAAATTTATTTTATAATCCCCCCCTCTCTCTCGTCTGCCTCGCACCGCCGAACAGTCCCGGGTTCAAATCTCTGCTAGGGGCCGTCTGCTTGGGTTTTCCCAGGTTACTTTTGGTCCCTCCTACCCCCCCCCCCCCCCATTTTAGTTTGACTGCAGACTTGAAATCGGCTTTTTGTCCGTACTTGATTGGCTACAAGTTTACA